TTGGTTTGTATCCTGCGCCGTCCAGCCACCTCTCGAGACGCAGCTGATACAAACCACCAGTCTAGTCAATCCTGAAACGACGAGGGTTAGGGCCCATACCACAAGATTACGTTGACTCGATTCGACTATCGACGTTACGAAGGCGTGGGCTCCACCAAGTACAACCCAAAACACATCCACTGTTCGAGTGTGGGTGCTGTGACCTCGACAACGTCGATCCAGGCCTCGACTGGCGTCTGCCAAAACCTCCCTGCGCCACCTACGATCGCTACGACGTGCACTGGGACCTGGAACAAACTCCTTGGCGTCTGCACGCTGCAGCAGCCGACGTACACCAAGGCGCAGTGCGTCATCGCTGGTGGCTACTGGGTCTTCAACCCGAGCGCCAACAAACCAAGCAATGGCGCGGCGTGCGTCTGTACCTCCGGCTCAGGGTGTCCGTCCTCCGGTGTCTGCTCTGCTTGCATCCTGAACGGCGTCTGCACCACCACATTTGTATCGGCCGTCGACTGCCTCTCGTTCGCGCCGCAGACGGCGTGGTGCGGCAAGTAGTTTCATGCCACATCGAGTATCAACTTGATACCATTCTGTTGCTTTGTCAATATTGCGTGCTATTTAGAGCCAGGGACCCCAGCCCGGGTACAGCTTGCAGAGATTGTGCGGGTCCTGGGCCATATGCACGAGCCGCTTGACTTGGCCTTCGACGCTCATCGCATCGCCGGTCGGGTCCTCGTACCCTTGGAGCTTCTGCTTGACGCGGAGAAGCGCGCGGGAGGCAGCGTCGGCGACGTTTTCTTCGGGCATCACGTCGCTCTTCTTGTGCAATAAGAGCTGACTTTCCTGCTGCATCTTGAGCGCCTTCACGGGCGAGAGCGTCCAGTTGTAGAGCGGATCGTGGATGAACACTTCTAGAATCGTCGTCAACGCCGCGCCCTTCTTGCGCAAGACCTATCCACCAGCGTGACTAACTCTCGTCGACTTCGACCTCGACCTTGAGCGTCTCTTCGCACGTCCGCGTAAATAACCCGTCGACGCCCGTGACGCCCATGCCGTCGACAAGGTCCCGCGTAAGCCGAAACGGCACCGTCTCGGGCGTCTGCAGCGCCATCCCTACCCGAGTTTAGCAAGAGCATGTCATGAACTAAGGACCTTGGTCAAAGACGACGCCAAAGTCAATGTGAACCAAGTCGCCCGTTGCCTCGTCGATGAGGATGTTGGACGAGTGCCGGTCGCCAATGCCGAGGATGTGGCCGACGATCGACGTGACGGCGACACTGCGCGTGTACGCCACGCGCTTGGCATACCTACGTCCAAAGTCATAGTTTGTGAATCCAAACACAACTTTTGACAAACCAGTTGGCCGGATCGGGAAATTTCTCGAGGAAAAAGTGATGAAACACGGGCGTAAAGTGCGCTTGGATCTCGAGAAACGCCTGGTACTTGTCGGTCGCGCGCATGAGGTGCTGGCGGCAGTTGGGGTGCTTCCACTCACTCGGGTGGTACCGCCCATGCGCGTCCATGCCTCGGCTCGTGAGGTAGTTGCCAATTGGAAGCGTGTTCTCAACCCACTCGAGAACACCAGCGATCGGCCCCAGCGGCGTCACCTAGAGTATATAACAATGCGCAATGCCCACAGCACCAAAACGAGTACCTTGTACGTCTTGATGTGCAGCTGGCGCTGCTTGGTCGCCGACTGCTCGGCCAAGAACGTGTTGACCATCTCGAACGTCTGTTCAATCACGAGATCCTACGTCACGGTCCTCAACCTGCCACTCCACATCCAAGAGCCAACGTACCTGGCGCGTGTCGTCGTTGCCCTTGACGAGCTGCTTGCGTCGAAGCCCGTCCGAGCCAAAACAGAAGAGGATCTTGGGGCGGTGGATCCCTACACGATCACTCAGCCACTCAAATTGTCGTCCATAACGACGGTCTACCCGTGTCGGTGATGGTGAACGTCGTCTCGAACGACTGCACCCGGGGCACGTGGGTATAGTCCCGGTCCGAGCGGGGCGCGATCGAGAGCGTTAGCACCGCAGGGCGTGCTTGGGTGTCCTGGTTGAGCCGGCGAAGGCGAAGGCACTGGTCAAACGCCACGTTGTGGGGTCCCACGACCACGTTGGCACACGGAATCTTCTTGACGCCCTTGCGCGCAAACTCGGTCGTGTCATAGAGCGCGAGCTTGACGTACGCGTCGCAGAGCACCTCCATGTTCTGAACGAGCTCGGCGCTCGTGCTACTGTGTTTTTGGACTTGGGCGAGGATGCGTGCGGCCGCCTCCGCCTTGCTCGACCCGACGTTGTCGCGGAACTGCACGCTGCCTTGCTTGCCCGTGTTCTTGAGCGCCAACAGCTGCACGAGCGTGTGGTGCGGGTGGTCGACGCCCATCTTGAGAGCGAGCGCTTCCAGCACACTGTGGAACGCGGGCAGCGCGACGCTTGACGCAAGGCGCGACAAGATCTGGTACGACAGCGGGAGGAGCTTGTACGACGGAACCGTCTCGACGATCGTCGCCATTTCGTCAGTCACGGCCGCCACCGCGCCGTGCTCAAACCACAGAGACACAATGCGAAAGACGGGTGTCATGTCGGCCACCGGCGCGTACCTACGACGACATGACGATGCTGCGTCACAACTACCTTTGACGCACCGGAGGCAAAGCCCATAGTTGTGCAAGGCGCCCGTGAGGAACATGAGCACCGAGTTTTCGACCATCGCGCGCTCCTTCTTGTCGTACTCGACCTAATATGGACAAGTTTGTCATCACACCGTCCTGCGACACGCCAGTACCTGCTTGCGGAGCGGCACAATGTGCTTCATGTAGCGGCTGCGCTCGGCGTCCGGCAGCTTCTCGCACGCGTGCAGCTCTTGCTCTTGGGCCAAAGCGACCTGCTTGCCTCGCTTCCACTCACTCGACTCGACGCGGGTCTTGACTTGGAGGTAGTTGTCGTAGAGGTAGTTGGCCACGACCAAGTACGCCTTGGACGCTTCCTTGCCATGGCGCGTCTCGGGGCCAAGTCGTTCAAACAACGCGGTCGCGGCCGAGAGGTACTGCGTGTGGATCACTTCGTTGCGCTCGGCGCGCATCGACGCCAGCCACTTGCCAATCGTGAGTTGCGTCTGCGCCAGCAGCAGTGGCTCGGACGACGGCGCAGCAACCAGCGCCTTGTGTACGTGCTTGGCGATGAGGAGCGCGCGGGGAGCGTCCCCGGTCGCATAGAACGTCCGCGCCTTCTCGAGCAGGAGCGACGACTGCATCGCGCTCGTGACCTTGATCGCTTCGAGGTGGGCCAAAGCAGCAAACGCGGTCGCCGGGCGATCGGCCTTCCGCGCGGCTTTGGCGCGCTTGAGGTGCCACGTTGGCGTCGGCCACTCGAGAAGCGACAGTAGCGTGCTCTCGAGCTCGAGGGCGCGGAGAAGCGCGTCCGCATCGTCTTCATACACGCTGTGGCGCTGCGTCCAAGACCCAAGCAGCTCATGCTGCGTCGTCTGCAGCTGCATCGCGCCAAGCAACTGATCTTGGGCGCTCTGACGCTACGACATTGCTCCATCCTGTAATACCGTCCGACAAACGCAAACCTACCTGGATGCTCAGCACAGCTTCAAGTTTGCCAAGGGTTTCGAGCTGGAGCAGCGACGTCTGAAGACGCTTGGTGGACTCGAGACCTGTGAACGCCACCTGCTGCGACTGCAACAGCGATGTCTTGGCTTGTCCGAGAAGCAGTTCAACGTTTGCATGGTCGTGGACGGCCAGGCCGCGCAGACAGCCGTAGACACACCCCTCGAAACTCGACGTGTCGACCTTGAGATCCCACTGCATCGACTTCCACGCGAGCTCGTACGTATACGGCGACGGCGCCTTGGTGGCCGAGAGCACCGACTGCAGCAAATGCGCATACCCAAGCGTCTCGAGCGACGTGGCAAGCCCGGCTTGGAGCGTCGCCGAGTGCGGGTCGAGTCGCAGCGCCGCGTCGTACAGAGGCAAGCTACTTGAAATCTTGCGCTCCATGGCGTAGCTGCTCGGCATGGCGACGAGGTCAGGCGTGTCGAGTACGCCGTCCATGCCATCCAGGTCCCCGATCGCATCGTAGATGGCCCGCAAGATGGGCACAAGGTCGTCGTCCATGGCGGCATACAGCCGGCGATGCTTGGCATCGACATGCTTTTCCACAAACTGCAGCGCCGAGTACGGGAGCTCGCTCGCCAGCGCCAGCCGCGCCACGTCCAGCCATGGCAAGTGCAGCAACTTGGCCGCGTGCGACCGTGCGCTCGATTTCTCTAGCTGCGACGCGTACTGGAGGCTGTGGACGAGCAGTTGGCCGTGCCCTGGCGGAACGTCGTCCGTCGCCAAGAGTGCCGCAAGGTCGCCCGAGACAGACGCGAGCGCGCGGCCGTCCATAACGACGGCGTGGAGCGCCAGAGGCAAGAGACACACACCAAACGTCGGCTGCACCGACACCAAGTCGACGCATGCATGCAGCAGCGGGTCCTCACAGAGCGAGATGAGGTGCAGCGAGCATTGGGCAGCCCATGTATCGACGCTGGTCTCCCCCACGGCGGGCCACGCACGACTTGCAATTTGGGTCGGCAATCCTGGCGAGCTCGTCGGCTCGACAAGGCTCAGAAACACCTTGAGACTTGACGAGAGCGACCGTGTCGACAGTAGCGTCGTATGCACTACCGGTAGTCCGAGCAGCGTTCGCAGCGTGGTCGTTGCCGTCGAAATGATGCGCATCTCGTTGGCAAAGAGCTGGCACACGACGTATTCGAGGACCTTGGCGCGGACTTCGAGGACGCTGTCCTTGTACGCCTGCAGCTGCGCAAGGCACGGCCGGTGGTACACGTGCAAGTACAAAGCGTTGAGCGCCGACGCATCGAGGTGCAGCGCGGCCGACGGAAAGACAGCGCCGAGGTGCCCCAAGCACGTTGCCAGTTGGAGTAGCACCGGTGGCGCTTCGCCACTCGGCGCCACGTAGCTACTGCTGCTCGCCCGCTTTAAGAGCGTCGGCTGCGACGGCTGGCTCCACATCGGAAGCGCTTCCGTGTCATTGGTGGTTGGAACGAGCGGCGTCGACGCAGGTGCGCGCTGGTACGCTTGGTGCAATAAGCCGTACACCACGGCAGCGATCGTTGACGGCTTCTCTTTGGCCATCGCTGGCATGATCCCATCGAGCGTCTGGAGCCCAAAGCTAGAGAACGGCACGGCGTCCAGCGGAGTGCGCTGCAGCTTGGCGACGAGCGATTCGTCGAGCTGCGATGACGCGTTGCACGTGGCTGCGAGCTGGTCGAGGGACGGCGACACGTGCAGCGGGATTGGGTCCAGCGTCACAATGTGCTTGTGCAGCTTGGGATGCTGGGCGACCGCGACGAGGCAGCCGTCGAGAAGCGACTTGGTCGACGGTTCCCACCGCGTGTACATCGGCACGACGCTCTGCACGAGGAAGTTGAGATTCGCGCCAAGGACGTCGGGGTCCGACTGCAAGCAGCGCTCGACGGTCGCCTTGAGCACGACCGAAACGGCGGGACTCTCTTCCATGTAGCGAAGCAGCACGCTCAGCAGTAGCCGCTGGGCCAAGACGTTGTTGGCGACGCTGTACCCCAACGCGTCCAGGCAGTCGCAAAGACACTGCAGTGGCACCCGTCGTGACGTCGGTGCGTGTGTGGTGCCGACGATACTGCTCAAGCACAGGGCGATATCCACCGCGCAAAAGCTATGCGGCAGCTGGTGCGCCAACACCGCCCACGACACGCGAGGCGCCAGCTCGGGGCAGGCACGGACCAGCGCAAACGTCATCTCGCACACGCACCGGAAGAGGCTCGGCGTCACGTCGACCGCCGTTGTGACAGGTATATCCAGAAGCAGCTGGGCAACGACCTTGGCGCCGACGGCCATCTCGTCAGGCACGCGCAGATCAGGTATGATCTCGAGAAGCGCACCGACGTGGTCGGCCGTGCTGTTGGCCACGTCCAGTAGCACGAGAAACGGGAGGAGGTGCTGTCGCAGCGACGGTGCCGCCACAATCGCAGCCGCCAGTGAAGGAACGTTGGCGTCAAAGAGGCGTAGTCCCAGCTGCATCCACGGCGTGTCGCTGCTCTCCGCCGGGCACTGCAGCCGCGGCAAAAGCCCGAGGTAGCTCGCCAAGATGCCCCACAGCTGGTCCTCGCACATGGCCATCGGGGACGCGTATCCATGGTGGTCACTGAGCGCCAGAATGCTCTTGACGACGAGCGCGTCGTCTTGACCGTTCTCGACGTACTGCGAGAGCACCAATGGCAAGAGCGACGGACAGACGCACGCTGCGACGTAGCACGCAAGGATGAACGTCGTCGTGTCGGCTTCGTGCTCTTGCAAGTGCGCAAACACGTCATTGTAGATGGCCTGCACGCCTTCAAACTTGGTGTAGAGCGTCCGAAGCGCGACGAGACTGGCGACGCGGACATGGACGTCCTTGTCGACGAGGTGCGGCAAGTTGACTTCGATAAAGCCGCCAAACGTGTCGACATTGACGAGGTACCACGCCTCCCAGCACTGCAGAAGGCGCCGACGGACGATCCGGTTATGCTTGAACTTTTTCCCGAGATACTCGAGGAGAGCAACGACGTCCTGGAGCAGCTCGGGTGGCAGCGACTCGGTCACGTGGTAGCTGAGGACGCGGAGCATGTGGGTGGCGTCTTCGGGCGCAATCTTGGCCGTGCTCTTTATTAGACTCACGCCAACCCGGACGCCTTCACTCGTCAGCGGAAAGCACAACAGCGGGACGAGAAACACGGCGCTTGTGGCGGCGACGTAGTTTTGCTGCACGACTGTGTGGACGAGGTGGCAGCTGCTCTCCGACTTCTTCAAGAGTAGCACAATGCGGAGGCTCCAGAGGCGACAGGCGGCGTCCGACGCCGAGGCCGCGTCAGCTTGGAACCTGCTGACATCGTCGTCGTTGATCATGTCGTCCGACGGATCTTCCAAGTCGCTGCGGATGGACGACGCGGCTTCACTCAGCACGAACGCTTCCAGCATCGCCACAAGATCGCTACACCATTTGTTTGAAGATGGTGCAAAGCATCGCAATGCCTACCGGGCAGCGACCCGACACGATGGCGGGATCTTGACCTTGGTAATGGCCGGTACGTCGATGTTGGCCGCCGTGAGTTGGCTCAAGTTGGCGCCCTGTAGCACCAGCAAGAGGCAGTACAGCTTCTGAAAGAGCGCTTCGTGGTACTGCTCGTGCTTGAGGAGATGCGTGAGCCGGCTTGTCGTCGCCGAGAGGACTTGGCCGAGCATCGAAGCCGCTTCAATGTGCTGCTGCAGCCCTGCGTACAGCCCAAGGGCGGCTGCCACGACCAGTCCCAACTACCGTCCAAATGGAATGAGAATCGCAAAGTAGCCAAGCGACCTACCTCGAGAAGGCGGTGCAAGAGCGGCGCAATGTCCTCGGTGCTCGCCGACGGCAGCAACGAGAGGTGCTCGTGCAGTAGCGCGTGGACGTCGCTGCGAAGACTACTCAAGTGGTCCTTGTCGACGCACAAGCTTCGGTGGGGCTGCAGTACGATAGAGAGTCGCCGCTGCGCCACAAACGCTTCGGGCAGACGCAAAACATCTTCGTCAACAAACACCGGTAGCTTGAGGCGCCGAGGCGCCGCGGGTGCCGGCATCACGGGCAGCATCCCGGCGTACGCCTCAACGAGATGCGGCAAGATGTGGGCGTGGTTGCGCATGTCGAGTGCTTTTGGTGCCGTGTAGCCGAGGCCACACGTGGCAAACTGAGAGCTCAGCGTTGGAACGAGGTATGTGGCAACGTCCCAGCGTAGCATGCCGTCGCAGACCGCCGCAAGTGCGCCACTGAGCAGCAAGAGCACAATGGACTCATCGTTGGCGGCGGGTGCGAGTCCGCGCAGGCCTTGCAGTACAAAACTGCGCATCGACGCCGACGCCACGCCGGTGTCGACGGTAGTCCAGAGCGCAACCGCCAGAGTCAGCGCCGATACCGTGAGCACATGACTATGTACGACTGTCAGCAACGCCGGTGCCTGCGCTTCGACGGCCGCCGGTGGCACAGGACCGGCCGCGCAAACCGCCAGCAACTGCAACATGGACTCTTTGGGTTTACGCCGACCAGCGTCAGCAGCAATCTTGGTAAAGACGTCGGTGGCCCACGACGCCGCGTCATCCGACCGGACGACCAAGAGCACGAGCAGTTGACACGTCACGTCCTTGCAGTAGCCGTCCATGGTGGCCACGTCGAGCGTCGTCACGAGCGCGTCGACGACTGAAGTCAGAATCTCCTGGCGGTGCGCTTGGAGCCAATGGCCGTGACGCGAGATGAGCGCGAGGAGTAGAAACAGCCACGGGAGGCGGCGGACGTCACTCTCGACGGACGCGGTCGCGCGCAGTTGCGAGTACATGGTCGGTGCCGTCGTTCCGCCCGAGCCTTGCGACGCCGACGCCGTATCGCCGATCCGCTCCAGCACCAACTCGAGCGCCGTCGTCGTGCGTCGGCGCTTATTCGCGACAGTTGCGGCCGACGTGGAAAAATCATGCAGCCAGACGACGTCGGCGGTCATGCTATACCATGCGATCGCACGATCCCCGAGCAAGCTGCCGTCGAGCGTCGACGCGGCCGACGTCATCGCACTTTGCCGAGCGACGGAAAACGCCGCTGTAAACACCGTGTGCATCGTCGTTTGGTCGAGAAGGGCCATGCAAAGGTGCTTGACGTCGCTGCTGGGCACGAGCCGGTAGTACTGCAGTAGAAAGCCCGAGACCTCGAGTGGCAGCGCCTTGAGGTGGTGCGGCAGCATGCGCTGCACAAAGGCGAGCGCGGTCGTGTCGGTAACAAGCGGCGCCATGGCCGTCGGGTACGTCTCCATGAGGAAGACAAGACTCGCCAGCAAATTGAGCGCGACCGACGTCGACACTTGGTGGCCGTGGCCAAACCACGCGTTGAAGAAGTCCATGTACTTGGGCAAATGCGGATGCAAGTCCATCGCGATGCCCTTTATGATGTGCAGCGCAATCGACGCGCAGTGGTTGTGGTGCTCGATGGACGTACCAAGATGCAGATGCGTGAGCACGCGGCCGAGGACGTCGTTGAGCAGGTTCGGGTCGAGGCGCTGCGTGTACGCCGGAACCGAGAGGAGCTTCTCCAAGAGCGTGTAGCAGTGGCGCTCGACCGGCGTCCCGACCGTGATCTCGTCGTTGATGCCAAGCTCGCCAAAGACACCGAGCCGCTTGAGCGTGTCGACGCCGAGCGCGTTTTCGTGGAGGGCGCCGCGGGCGCTGTCGAGCGCGTGGAAGAGCACGTTGACGTTGGGCAGCTCCATGGTGCTCGACGCAGACTTGCGCTTCGTCTTCTTCGTGAGCTCGAGCAGATCTTCCTCGACGACGTTGAAGATCTGGCCGATGACGTAGCCCCAGCAGCCGCTCCGGTGCAGCACGGCCTGGTGGGCGCTTGACGTGAGGAGGCTGTCGAGTGCAATCATCTCGCGCTTCTTGTCCGTCTTCTTCTTGGCGACGCGCAGCGCCCGGCACTGCCGCCGGACCTCGGCCCACACCTCCATCGTCCAAACTGCAGTCGCGTTTTTGGCCCTACACATTGCTCACGCTTTTTATTATCTATACAAACATCAAGCTAGAAATGTCAATTTTATCCATTCGACTAAAATCACCCAACTTGCACTTGGCCTTTCTGGCGCCAAGTCACCGACGTGGAGGTGCAGCCCGACGCAGTAGCGAGGTATCCACACGCACCGGCGTTGTGTGCATACGACCACGACAGTCGGAGCGACCGAAGGGAATACGTGTTTCC